AAAAAAGGAAAAGAAGAGAAGACTAAGAAAAGAGGAGGAGAAGGAGTTTAAACAGTGGTAACCACTGGCAGAGTACATACTGCGGAATGACTGGGGACTGGGAGAAGACACCGATGTGTGGACTGTGCTTTTACTAACAGAATTCTCTGGAAGAAGGTCCGGCTCAAGGATTTGGAAGGGGATTTTGAAGGCCTGGCGCAAGGTAAGACCAAGAAGTTTAAAGGAACCAGCCACGAAGCTGGAAATCCTGAACCAAGGCCTTTTTGACAACATTCTGATTAAGAGACCATCGAGGATGCCTTTTGCGACTCAAGAAAGTACCGGAAATTTCGCCCGATCTTGGGTAGAAAAAGGAGTATTTCAGGTTAAGCACATTTGGAACGCAGAGAGCCAGGATTGGCTAACCCCTGAGGCCTTAAGGAGAAAGCTCCCCAGACTGCACAAGCTGGAGGAACACTATGCAGAGCTTAGGGCAGCACTTCCCCCTCATTGGAGGGAACAGCTAAAGGAGAAATCAGAACACGCGCATGGCACATGGGTGGCCCACCCGGATAACTCACAATACGTACTGAAGGTGTTGGGGCCAGACATCCCTCAGGGAATGATGATGGAGCAGTGGCAGAAAGAAGGACATACGAAAGAAGGGACTAAGTTGATCAAGGACTCATCAACAACGCTACAGACAACAGTAGAGCTGCCTGAATTGTGGGTTTGGGAACCACGAGATTCCTCTAATAAGTTTAAGATCTGACTGGATAATGAGGCGGAGGAATTCCGGGTGGAACCCCTGCTTTACGGGTGGGAAGGAACAAATAAGGAAAAGACTCCTTTGATCTGGTACAGGCCTGAAGTGGGGGTGAGATGTTTTCGTGAGAAGAAACCACAACCCTTGCAGGTGGCGGAACGAAGATTTCAATCAAGACAGGGGAATGGATCTCAATCTCCGGACTTCAGAAGATTGTGGAGAGAGATTAAAAGAATCCCCTCTCAGAAACAGGCAGGGCTCATCTGGGCACAGTCGCTGGAGGTAATCCCATCTGCACTGTGGCTTAGCCTGAGAGGGATGGATCTTAGTACTACTTGCAAGAGATGTAAATGGGGGTGGGAGGATACGCAGCACCTATGGCTGCTTTGCCCTCTTGCTGACGAACTGTGGGTGTGGTGGAAACTACAATGGGAGGAGGGTGGGGGCCAAGAGTGGGAATGGACAGATGAGTGGATTGTGTCCGCTATCCCTCCAGCTAAAGCCCAACTTTCAGACAGATGGGGATATGTGGCACTAGTGTGCAGAGGTATACTGTTGGAGACGATATGGAAAGCCAGGAATGCTTCAGTCTTCAGGAATGAAATTTGGCCATTGCAGAAACAGACAAGCATGGTCAAAGACTCACTCAGATTGACCCTCCTGACGGAGTGGAAGAGATCGAAACAGAGATCGGGAGGGGGCATGCTTCGATTCAAGAAATCTTGGATAGAGCGAGATTTTCTGGCCCCTGTTATGCCAGATAATTCATTGAGAATAGCGAAATGGTTAACGTAAGGTGCAGGTGGGATGGCTGGCCGAATTAGGCCAGCAATGGCTCAACGTAGGTGTTATTAAGTGTCCACGTCCTTGAGAAGAACAAAGTTTAGATCTAGTTGCTGGGCGTAATATGACACGGAATATAGTTAGGGTAATGTTTGGTCTTAACGCAGTCCCACTTTTGGGAGACTTAATGATTCATTTTCTGTGCTTCAAGTCTATCATTTTGGAAGGTTGGTAGAAAACGGGATGCTGGACCCGGTTACCAGCTGTAGAATGAGAATTTCTTAAGGAGCTGGAGGTCTGTGGCTCCCATAAGCGAAACTGGCTGAGGCTGCCAGGATAACTCCGGGTCGAATTGTGAGGTCCCCGGCCTCTTCCCGTTTGATTTGGCAATAAAACCTTTATGCTTACCAAAAAAAAAGAAAAAAAAAAAAGGAAAAAAAAAAAAGAAAAGAGGAGAGGAAATGAGACCAGTGGAAGACATCCAGCGGCCTAACTCAGTTGGTAAGGCATACAAGTGGCATTCAGGAGGTCTTGGGTTCAATCCCCATGATTGCCCTCATGTACCTTCCTAAGCAAACTTGGCGCCCACCTCCTAGAGATAGGTCGGGTAGTCCCCCCGGAGCGGCGGCTCCGCCGAGCGGCATTGCGCAGAGAGCGCTGATGTTAATAAGGGGGAGAGGGGACGCACGGGGACTGGCCGATTGGAGAAGCTTGGTCCTGATGCTATGGGCTGACCCCTGGCCAGTATCGCCCACCTGCTGTAGTGGGGCTACCATCTTCCCCGAACATAACGCACCCTAATTTCCGGCCAGATGCAGCCAAAATAAGGGTGCGTTGTGTTCGGGGGAAGAAGTTGGAGACTCGGACACGGATGTGGGGGCCACGGGATGTTTAATAAGTAGTAGTGACAATAGAAAAGTCCTGAAATGCCGTGCCGCCCAGAATGGTTCTTTGTTTATGTTTGCTACTGTCTTGTTCGGCTTAGAACCCACTGATCCGAAGCTGGGTAATGGTTCAGTTGGGCCTGACAGTGTTTTGTGAGGAATTGGTGGCCTCATCTGATATTTAATGGATGTCCTT